TTTTTTTTTTTAAATTGGGACTCACATTGACTACTCCCACTACTCTGGTATTGAGATCTAGCTGAGGATAACTTGCAAGCTAAGTGTGAATTGAAGATAGGGGTCAAATGTCTTCTTACTGAAAACAAGAGTCACTCATAATGAATCAAAGAGCAGCAGTACAACTGCCTGAGTTCAGTTATGTGAATTTCAAAATTTTCCACTCGCATAGTACACTGTTCACTGATCAGCATGACATGTAATATTTTTTCTAATCATATTTCTAATGCAGCGTGAAAATATATTATCAAGTCCTTGTGTTATCTTCATAGTTCATAAACAGCCATACAGTTACTGAAAAAGTGAATCACACAATTACCTCTTAGACTATTTAATTTGTCAAAATTTTAGAAAGTTGCGCCACTAATTTTTCCAGATAATTTCTAGAATTGCTGTCTTGAGAACTGCACTGATTTCAGTCAACAGAAAAATTGCAAACAATTAGGCAGGTTCCAAAGTAAATGAAAATGCTACAGTAATATAGAAGCAGCACTCCCATCTAATTTTCCTGTGTCTCCCATATCCCCAAAGAAATTACCCAACCTTGCGTGCCTCTTGAAAGTGGTTAGTATTGGGGGGGGGCAGATATATTCATTTTCATGAATACTTATGTTAATGTTACACATTGATGTTTCCCAGTTGGGTAATGAATTGTCTGCAAGAAAACAATCAAGGACCCCACAATTGCTAAACATTCAAATTGCAACCATGAGATAGTAGGGATGGTGTATTGGTCAAAAATGCAAGTATAGCACTTTTTTCAAAGTTACTGTAACTTTGAACTATCATTAAGTGATTGATTGTATAAGTCAAGGACTATCAGTATGTGGTCTGGAAAAAAAATAGGATTGTAGCCTAGTCTTTACCTAGCATCAGATTTGTGGCATACAAATTTAACAAATAAACCAGCAAAGAAACAAAAAAATGTCCCTGAATGAAGCACAAAACCATTTGCCAGATGAAAATACTTTTTTTAAAATCCCCAGACCTTCTGCAAGGCTTTTGCTCCAAGCTACTTTTAAAATCATGTTCACAAATATCAGGGTCAATATTATAAAATGTGGCAATAAGGAAGTTTACCAGAATTTGATTCACAAAGCTTGTAACTTAAGCATTGTATAAACTACCTTAGTTTTTGATTAAATATTAATCAGAAATAAAGAAATAGTTGATTATTCATAAAATCATAAATAATTTAAGGCCAGATATTTGAAGGTCAATTTCTCTTACGGAAACCAGCCCAACTATTACAAAAACATTGTCTTCTTTGTACAGGTATAGCTAGTTGAGACAAAGTCTTCTAGGCAATGATGCCAGATATATGGAATTCACTCTCTTCTTCAGAGTTCAGGTAAATGGCCAAGATATTCATATTTTGCTAGACAACATTTAAACATTATATTAAACCTTGTATCCTGCTGTTACAAATGATTTTAACTGTCTGTTTTTAAAAAACAGTTTTACATTTTTATTTGGCTGATATTTTTCTAAAATTAATTTTATGTTCTTGGTCTTCTCTTAAAAACAGGATTTAGGTCTCCTTGTTCCTAACCAGCACCTAGTTCAATCTCTACACTGCCCTGGCTCTCATTGTTCACATATACTATCTAACTGATAACTATCTAAATGACAAAATATGTACGGTAACTTCTAAAGCAGACATGTCAAACACAAGGCCCGGGGGCTGGATGCGACCCGCGAAGTGATTTCATGTGGCCTGCGAAGCCATCCTGGAAAGAGTGACGGTACGGCCCCCTCTGCCTTGGCCCTGGCCCAGGCCAGCTGGGAGCCAATGTACAATTTTGTGGTGGCCATCTATGCTGAAACACATTCAGTCTTAGCTCCACAAGCTCAGGAAACAGCGAGGAACCAGTCCCTGCTGCGGAGGTGTCATCTTTTGGGAGGAATGAAGAAATGCACCATTGCCTGGAAGTGGCCAACAAATGGCCCTCGCCTATTTCACATATCCGGCTTGATGGGCTCTCGGGGAGGGGTTTCAGCAAGCAGCAGGGCGCTCGCCTCACAGCGCCGAGAGGCTAAGCCAGGCGGGGCAAATCCCAAAAGAAACGCGAGGCCACCCAGCTCCCAGCCTGCCCAGTTTCAGCAGGCAGCAAGGTGCAAAGCTGGCGAGCTTCGCACTGCCTGGCTCAACCTCTTGGCGCTGTGAGGAAAGCGCCCTGCTGCCTGCCGAAACCGGGCAGGCTGGGGGCTGGACGGCATTGTGCAGGTAAAGTTGACTCTCACGTTGCTCATGGCATCCCCTCCCCCAGAGCCCACCAAGCCAGATATGTGAAGTAGGTGAGGGCCATGTGCTGGCCACTTCCAGGCAATGGTGCATTTCTTCATTCCTCACGAAGGGTGACACTTCCCCAGCTGCATTTCTTGCCTGTTTTTCTCCCTCCCTCATCTCAAATATTTTCCCACCACTCTGTACTTAGGAAGGAAGGAAGGAAAGAAGGAAAGGAGAGGGAGGGTCTGAGGGAAGTCCTGCCTTAGTCCTGCCCTGCTGCCCTTTCACCATCCCCTTGCCCCCTCCTCTGGCCTATCCTGGGGGTCTCCCATCCTATTCCTAAGGAAGCTTTGGATACAAAGCCGGGTCTCCTCCCATGGAGAGGGAATGGGCCCTCTGACTTTGCCCTCATACCCATCATGAGCAACCTGGGTAAGGAGAGCAAGCACAGCAGCAGCAGCCTTGAGGAGGTAAGTGCAGCTGGGCGCCCCCTTGGGAAAGTGGGGCTGGGCTTGGTGCCACAGGTGCTTGAGGGCCAGGCTGGATATTTGACCTCTGCTGTCCAAGGCTCCCGGCAGCTCGCACCACCATCGAGCGCCCCCCGCATGGCCTGCGAAGAACAGTGAGGCTCCTCCAGTGGACCATGCCTTGGCACTTGCCCTGGTCCCACCCCCTTCTGCCGGAGACTCTCAGATCTGTCCCACTCCCGCCCAGGCCCCCACAGGCACCCTTGACGCGAACATAGAGCTGGCCATGCCCAGCCAGTAGGCTACACCCACTCCATCCACGGCCACCCAGTAGGCCACACCAATGCTGGCCACATCCACCCGGCCCCCCGAGGGCAATTGCAATGCTGATGCGGCCCTCAATGAAATTGAGTTTGACACCCCTGTTCTAAAGGAACAAATGTATAAAGCTGGGGCAATCAAATACAATGACCCTATTGGGGCCATTATTCTTATTTCAAAGATAGGAACAGAGCAACCCTAAAAAACATCTCTAAAGATTTAGGTAGGTTCATGTGAGGAGAAAAAAATCTTCAAAATATTTTTCTTTATGGCTTTAGAGACGAGTCATGTTTCTGTCTTTTTTCTTTGCTATTAAAAACTTTGCTATTGCTATTAAAGTGCCTTATGACTATTATTCCTTCCATAACAACTCTCTGTGTATTCTGAGCATTCATTCTATTGGTCAGGGAAATGCAAATGACAGCCATATACCTAAGTGGCCTATCTACCTGAAGAATGTTTTATTACTGAGGGAGAAAGTATTAGAGATTAAATGCCCTGAAATTATTTGTTTGAAGCATCCCAGTAGGGTTAGACCAGGTTTTTTTACACCAGTTTATTTTAATTTTTCATTTTATTCCATTAGAAGAATCCTTTTCTTAAGACAGAATGAGGGTGAATATTATCTTGGGAATTGGCCGATATTTCTGTAAATAATTCTTGGAGCTTCTCTAACTGCATTTCTGTTCTCCACTGTAGGAATAACATGGAGTTCACATGTCATTTAGTCATAGCAAAAGGCCTCCCAAGAGTCTTTTTATACCATCATTGTGTATGCGTTCTTGTACAACAATTTATCTTGAGAGATTAACAATGTTTTATTTCTTCTTCCATGTTAAAGCAATTATTTCACATTAAGATACGACTAAGTTAATTTTTTGGAGGAGAACCCAAAGGTGCTTTTTCAAAAGGCAATTGGATTTTCTTTGTTTTTCCTTGAAGACATTTTGCTTCTCATCTAAGAAACTTCTTCAGAAGTCAGAACTGAAGAAGCTTCTTGGATAAGAAGCAAAATGTCAAGGAAAAACAAAGAAAATAAAGTTGCCTCTTGAAAAAAAGCACCTTTGGGATGACTAAGAATCTCCACAGGCATTTTGGAGGAGAATATCTTGACATAATTTTTCATTTTTACTTGGGACTGGTATTTTTCTAATTTTCATGTTCTTGGACTTCTTCTTGTCTAAGGTAGGATTAGAACCTAGTCCTACTGCCCCAGCTCTCTAATTCTTTATATATACTATCTAATTGATGGTGTACAACTCTTCAGCAATAAGTATGCTGAGAGGAGAGCTCAAGCAGCAATTGGGAAATTACACTGAATTGCATTTACACCTTTAAAATGCATTTCTTATTAATATGTTCACCTAAAGATTATTGTAAAACCATTTCTTACCATACTATTTTTCTTATTCCATTTTGTTTTCTTCAGACAAATCCATAACTCATGTATTTTATTTGTGCATTTTCTGTGCTAACTCATGTATTTTATTTGTGCATTTACCACTACATACCTTAAAATAGTTGCAAATCTCTTTCTAAGTGTTATCTCTTTCAGGGTTCAAGCCAGACTTCTTTATATAATGTTTTCTAAACAGACTACATGAGTCAGGTTGATAGAAATAAGTCAAATTCATAAACTACAATAACTGGGTTCATATGTATGACTAAACCAAAAAAGAAAAAAATTATATGAATTCATCCAAAATTTAATATCTCCCCTCACTAATTACTATACACATAGCTAATTGTATTAAATGCCAATGGTGTATGTAGGTGCTTCCATCAAGGTAGAAGCAATTTAATGAAATCAAAAATATGAAAAAGATAATATGCAAAATATCCACTTTTGCACAGATAATTTTTTCATACTGATAAAATTGCATTTATACAAAACCAAATAGTGGAATTAGATTAAAAAATAAGCAAAATATATTGAAACTTACCACAGAAGTAAGAGCCATCTGAAAACTATAGATTCGCGCAAGGCCAAAGTCAGCTAATTTTATTTGTCCACTGCTGGTGACTAGAATGTTTTGGGGCTTTAAATCACGGTGGACCACTCTGTGTGAATGCAGAAAATCAAGGCCTCTCAGCAGCTGAAACATCATATCCTAAGAGAAAATTTGATAAAAAGAAGCAAAAATGTTAAGATTTTGGAATACCACACATCAAAAAGTGAACCTATTTCAAAGCAATGGAATTAACTGGCAAATATACACAATATTATACGCACCCATACATTAATTTTACAAAAGACTTTAACAAATCCTGTGTGAAGATAAATTAATGTTCAGCCTCAATTTCCATATTTCTTTTTATTGATTGGCTGAAAAAATATTTAAGAATGTTATGTAATGGTTAATAGTTATTTCTTCTGCTGCTTTTATGAAATTATATTTACTACAGTCATTTGACAAGATAAAAGACATTTTGCATTGTTTTCATTCCATGTTGAAAATAAATATGAAAATTATGCATTACATAATTAACTAGAATCTTCTAATTAATGATGCCATCAAAAGATTTTTTTTAATTTGGTTAAAGGCCAATATTTATACATGTTATTTTTACAAATCATCTTAGCAAATAATTTTGAGAGTAACTGATCCATATTTTATAAATACTACTAAAGGGCTGTATTACAATTTCAGTTTAGTAGGCTACATGAAAACAAAGAAATGTAACACATTTAAATCATGGCTTAGCATGATGTATGAAGGTCTGTCTTCTAAATATTAGGACAACCAGAACTAAAGATTAATGGAGAAAATGCAAAATTATATGAATGAAACATGGAATTGTATCTCATTCCTTTTCATCCTGATTCAAACAACATTCTGTTGTATATTGGTGATTTGTTAACATAAAATAACATTGGCTGATTTAATGTTACCGTTCAGAGAACCCAATCCTAGATGATCTCCCCAAGCAATAATGTTTACTTAATGAAGTTAAGTGTATATCTGAAAATGCATTTGTCGAATTATTCTGTTAATTATTGTTAACATTTAAGAGATGGCATATGCTGAAAGCATTCTTCTTACTGGAAGAGAAAGACATGGTGATAGGGCCAAAATTCAGTTTTGCTTCCTAACAGCTGTTTATGGACATCACATAAATGCATCCACTTGTTTAACCTCAAGGACAATGTCTAGAGATACTAAACGCTACCAGCACACTTCCTCTGTCTCCAGTGGTCATTTCCTCTCTGGTTTAAGTTGCATGACAGCATGTGACAACAGATATTAATGGAGGCAATGCTGTGCCAATATCTCTCAAATTGCTTTGATGGCGGCTGCAGGCTGCCTGCTTGGCCACCCAGCCAAGACCTCACATGAAACATGGCAAGGGGCCCACAGTTCTATTCACTAACAAGGCAGCTGGTCAGTGATTAGGAAGCTGAGATAATGCTCCAAAGGGGAACATGCTTTTGCAAGCAGCTTCAGGCTCAGGAGCTGAAATTTGCTCAAATACAGCATTTGCACTTTCCTTCTCTCCCCCCCCCCCCAGATTAAGAGTGACTTGAACACCAGCAAAGAACAATTTCTTAGCAGATCAGCATGATAAAATTGTAACGAGGTAAACAAAGAACTGTCATCCTTAAAAAATTCAATTTCTAAAGACAAACCAAACAAAAAATTGAGCAGAACCTTTGAGTTAGGAAAATAGATTTGGATTCCAATTGCAAAGAAATTGAATATAAGACAATGTAATACTGACTGGCAGCATAGCCTTTGCCTTTGAAATATTGCCTAGCTTCTCAGTCCAAGATAAACACCACTTCAAAGGGTGCAAGGAGTTACCTTTTATCTACATATACTTTGTGAGGATTTTTTTGCTCTAATATTCTTCCAATGTCTTCTAATAAATGGAGCATGGATAAGCACCTGCCGTTCTTTTTCCCTATTTAATACCAACATATAATAAATTGGCTAGGAAACAAACACCAAGCCCTTTCCTTCCCATGGATCTTTTTCTTGGAAAGTATAAAAGAAGAGACATCATAGTGAAAGAAATAGAAAGAAGAATTCTCCTTCCATCCTTCTCAAAGAGTGGTAGACACTCACTTAGTCTCTTTTATCTAGATAATTGTATCTAGTTACAAGATCAGAATTCTTTTTTCTTTGTCTGCATTGACTTAACAGTAGCCAGTCATGGTTATTAAAACATGAAAAACAAACTAGCAAATCAAGGAATTGTTGCAATTGGTGAGAAGTTAGGATATTACCCCTCTACAAATTACTCAGTGGAAAATGAATATGGAGGGTTAAAACAGATGCTGTAGTTTGGCAAACAGCTTTAAACAAATTGAAGTACCTCTACTACATCAGAACCTAAGTAACCTTTCATTTACTCATGCCAATTAAAAATAAAAACAACCACCCACCAATCAGAGAGTCTACCACACGAAAGTATGCACTGTTGCAAAATGCCACTCAATGAATTGGAAGCAAATGGTATATTTAGAAAAGCAAATGAAAGGGGCCAGGCATCACTATCAAAAGAGTGCTGTTCTCTTTTGTGCCTCAGATACTAAACAGATTTACTGTGTGCCCTGCAAACTCATGAGCTTCTGCTTGCTGTGACACATTTCCATGCCATGTAAACCCTTCTTATGCATAGCCAGAAAAAAAGAGGTCTCTCTAGTATGTCTTTCCTATGGCTAAGGAAAAGACAAGATAATGACTTTCCAGCCCATTGCACTCATATAATGTTCTCTTTAATCACTCAAGGGTGGTCTTTGTTATCTATACTAGAAAACTATTTTTGATTTTGCAATTCACAATGCAGCATGACTTCACTAACTATATTAGGGTTATTTGCAACAGCAAAAATGAACAAAAAAAAGCCTAAGACTTAAGGCAGAAGTGTGAGAAGCACAGACCACATGCAGTTTCTTTCTGTTGCCTCTAAGCCTTTCTTGGGTAAGAGTGGAGTTGGTGAGTTTTAAAGGGCAAAATAGGTATTTAAAGGGCTCAAGGTAATCCTTTCACCCATTTACATCTTGAACCCCAAGCTAAGCCACTTCCTAGACTTCATTGCTTTTTGAGTACAACGCTGACATGTCATACCATGTGCAGTTGGAAAATTAATAGAATGATGACTGGTTGAAGAAGGTTCTATAGATTGTTCTGAGAACTCATATTTTCATGAGTTGTAGGCTTCAATTTGCTAAGTAAGTTTCAGCAATCTGGACAGTTTTTACATTCTCCTTTTTTTAAAGCAATTTTCTGTTCCCTGAAGACGAAATTGCCTAAACTATCTCTACAAATGATTGCTACATATGTATAAGTGGGAAATAGGTCTAAATTCAAGGTGTTTTCAAAGAGAAAAGCTATGAAAATATTTTTTTTAATAAAAAGACCGTACATGTGCTTGGACACAATTACATTTTAGAAAATAAGTCCTGAAAAAGATAAAAGATGGACAAGGGTCGATCTGTCAACATTTCTAAATTCTGGCAGTTTTCAGTACTTTAATGGGATATTATATATATATATATATATTTGTATTAATTTTTATATGAGGGAAACTTCTTTAACAAAGTGTTGATCCAGCTAGCTCAATGTCTAATTTGTAGATATTTCCTCAAGAACTCTAGTAATCTCTTACAAGCATAAAAATATGAAAACATACTGAGATAGAATATTTCTTATTATATAGGCAAAGGCAAGGTAAATATATAATATGAATCAGCATGGATTATCTGCAATCAAACATTTAAGAGAGAGATAGGAATGACAAGAGGTTTGGAGTGCCAAAAAGTCTTCCAGCTTTAGCCTTATATATAGAGAACATGAACTGTGTGACAAGGACCTTTATCAGTAGATACACTACAAAGTAGCACAAGAGTAACCATTTTATCTAGTCACATGTGAACTAATCCTGTTGGCTAGCAATTGCCTTTTGACCTTTTTTCCTTGTTTTTTTTTTAATTGACAATTCTTATATGCTACTCTCTTCAGTTTAGCACTGAATGGAAACTAGTGGGGAATTATAACTCAGTTCCTGCTTGTTCCATAGCTATGTGCCCAACTTTGGCTTTATAGAAATATTGCATCCGTAGGAAGCATAAGGTTGAGGCATCAATATAAGCTCCTTCAATGGAAACAAGACTACTGGCTGCAGAACAATATTTGCATCTGCTTCCATTCCTCTCACCCAACTCTAGTCTGGAGTCAGTGTTCTGCATCTTGATATGTGGTTTGAGGGGGAGCCTTTTTCATGGATGCTGGGAACTGGTTTCATCATAGTGGTAACTGAGAAAAGAACACCCAAAGATAATAAAACACATATTTAGGGGAGGTTCGATTTCCCACAAGTCATTTCTTTCAAGATTTCCTCTGTTTCAGTCTGTGTTGTTTCTCACTGAGTGACAGACCTGTGTATGAAATACTTCGGTAATATGAAGCATATGCTCCTAGCACACTGTTGTTTGCCTTTTAGCTTCAAAATTAGTCTTTCCAATTTAAATGCATGAAAGACATCTGTATACTTTCATTAGAGTCTTTTCATTTATATAACATCCTATCCATTCTTTTAGAACTGGTTTGGTTAAACTGTAGGATACAGAGTTGGAAGAAGTACAATCAGAATTCATCCTCCCCTCTCTCTTAAATTCTTGCTCCAGTTATCCAAGAGAAATATTTATTAAAGCCAACTTTTATACATGTATAAAATCTTTGCACCTATAGCATATAGAAGCCTCTAATCTAGAAGTATGTAAGAATTGTTAATTGTGAGAGAACAATCATGATTATAATGCTTGAAGTCCAGCTGTTGAAAGACATAGATTAGTTAAAAGCCCTAAATAGAGAATAACAATTTTGTGGGGAGATTGAGAATTGAATAAAGGTCAAATAAAGAACCAGTCAAGAGTCAAAGAGATAAAAGAAACCAGGGCTCAGGGTTGAAATGAGGGGTCCTTGGTGTTCTCTGAGTTTGGTTGTTTTCTTGCAGATGTTTACGCAAACTAGGTAACACCATCAGTGCTAGTGTCCTGAGGATACTAGCACCAATGATGTTATCCTATTTGGGTAATGAAACATCTGCAAGAAAACAACCAAGCTCAGAGAGTACCAAGGACCCTTCAAATATAAAAAAGAGTGCAGAAAAATAAGAGAATAAGGAGGAGTAATTTGAAGGACAAATAAATAGAAAATGTGGTCCATGCTTATGTTTGAATTTATTTTGCAAAGATATTGAATTTTTTTTTAGTGTAAATGAGATTCCATCTCAACCAAAATAGTGGATTTTATGCTTTGTTTTAATTAAATTATATCTATCAAATCATGATCTCATTATAATATTTTATACTATGGAAATGCTCTGCTGTATTAGTCTAGTATCGCCGATAGTGGGTTTAGTGATATATGGATATTATCATGACACAGAAGAAGGTATGTGATTAGGTTGTAAGCATTTCATTTGACTTGTAAAATATTCTGTTTAACTTTCACTGGCAGATTAACAATTTAATCAGCATAGTTGCTGATGCTTAATCATCCAGAAAGAGACATAATTCAATAGTTGAGCACACAGTATGAGCTCCAGGGTCATTCTCTGGTTTTCCACTGACAGCTGGTAGCAACAATATTAAGCTGGATAGACCAGTCACTGAACATGGTCTGAAGCACTTAGGTAGTCCTCAATTTACAACCATAGTTGGTACCGTAAATTTCATTGTTCAATGGCGCAATTGTACGCATGGCATCACATGATCACACTTGATTTTATAATCTTTTTTGCCATTTTTGTTAAGTGAATCATTATAGTTGTTAAATAAGATACAAGATCACAATTTGCAACCTTCCCTGCCAGTTTTCCCATTGATTTTGCTTGTTGGCAGCCAGTTGGGAAATTTGTAAATGGCAATCATGTAATCCCAGGACCATGCAACTATTATAAATATGAGCAATTGCTTGGATTATGATCATATGACTGTGAGGATGCTGTGATAGTCATGAGTGCGAGGACCAGTTATAAGTCATTTTTAAAAATCAAATTGTAATTTCAAATCATTACTAAATGAATGGCCATAAATCCAGGATTATCTGTAATTGTTTCTTCAACTTTGTTCTGTTTCTTCAACCTAGTTCTGTAACTGACCTTTACTCAACCCTCAATCTTCCACACAAAATTGCTTTCTTCATACTTGGAGCTTGAAGTGATTTATGCCTTCAGCTAGATTTCAAACATGCTAACTACTATTCACTCACAATTATAATTCTTCTACATTAGAGACTTCTATGGACTTCCAAAAGTTCCTATACAGTCAAGGCATATTATTTCTGAAGTCAAATACGAGATTGTTTCCTAGCTATCTGTAGTCACAGCAACAATCAAAACCCTTGAAAACAAAATGTACTTGATATGTTAGTTGGGTCCAGGCATCATGATAAAAATCCTTTTGCTCTTTGTTTTTTCTTCTCTGATGCAGATTGAAGTACTTTAGATGATTTTGCTTACCAACAGCTTTAACCATCAAATTCTGGTTAATGTTAACCACTGTTTGTTGAAAACAAGCCAACGTAAAACTGTGAGTTATGCAGTTGGCTTGCTTAAACAAATAAGAAGTTATTTGAAAACAGAAGGAAATATTATGAACACTTTCACATGACCAATGACAGAGAAGCAGAAAATCTGATTACATAAGACTAAAATATGGTCTAACATGATATGTCACCAAAAATATTTCAAAGCTGATATATATCTAAAAATAATAGAGTGATACTTCTCTACTGAAATTATTGTATGTCTTTAGTATGGATGTGCAGTAAGTAAATTCTTGAATGCTTTACCACATTAAAAATAATGAGATTTTTTTCTCAGATCTTACTCTGCATGCATACTGATATGGCAAAAAGTAGAAGAAAAACCAAAAATACATCCACTCCCCAAAGAGAGAGAGAGAGAGAGAGAGAAGAGGACAGAATTTTTCTATTCTAAAGAAATGCCATTTCAGAAGAATTTTAACTGGGTAGTTTTTTTTCCCTTAACTGCTTGATCTTTTAGGTTCTGCAATATTAGGCCCACCTTACTGGAGTGAAAATAATTTAATCGGCCAAATGTTTAAAGGATTAATCACCCAAACAGTACAGCTCTGTATTTCATTTATGTTTCCATGCATTATTTTCTGTTTGCAGTCAGCTATATTCTAACTCCAATAATGTGTGCCTTTGTCTGGGCTTCCCTCAGTAGTTAAAATCATTCTCAAAATGAAGGAAGTTCTATTTGGTTAGATTTGAAACTTAAAGAACCAGAAAGTGGAATAACATGGTGATTGTACAACATAGCAACAAAAAAGGGGCAAAGTATACATTTTTTATAAATTTGGGAAGAAACAAACATAAGAGAATTTGTTTGGATTTTTCCCTCCATTGATGTCATCCTCAGGAGTCTGTTAAAGGGTTAACCTCAAAGACTATTCGACTTCAGTGGGAAAGCTGCAAGTTATGTAGAAGCTTAGAAAAGAAGTACTTATAATCATCACTTCCTCCTTTTTAACATATTTTCAAAGATTTCTGGAACAACTTGCATGGATATGAAAATTCATATATATATATATATATATATATATATATATATATATACACACACATACATATATCCTTGGGCCCACTTCATTTCCCCACATTTCAAATTCTTACATACATGTGCAATAAGATTCTTGAACATCTACTAAAACAATATACAGCATGGAAACCAGGTTAAATAACATAAAATGTATAACTTAGTATCTAACTCTAATAAAACATCTATGCCATAGAGTTGCTAAATATTCTTGCTTTTGAATGCACTCTTAATATACAAGGGCTCTACAACATCTGGATTCAAAAGGGAAAATATGATTTGGAGCATATACAGAGCATATACAAATTCTGCCTGCGGCCAACTACTCAAAAAGCAACGATCTGGGGGAAAAAGACAAAGCTTCCTTTAAGAAACAGCTAACAAATATGAAATGTACATCAATGTGTGCTCCGAATCACCTTTTCCTTTTTGAATCAGGATATGTTGGAAAAGTCATGCCACTAACAAAACAAAAAACAAATCACAACTTTTTTTCTAACATTTAGTGACAGAATCCCAGGGGACTCTGTTACTTAAAAATTCTAGAATATTTTGCAGACAGTTTTGATTTTCTCATCCCCACCTAGCAGTATACACTAATATAGGAAAAATATATCAATTAAGAGATAACAAAATCATAGATAATCATATCAAAATCATATGGCAGATGTTTATACTGTCTCCACTGCTTCATCTGATTCAGCATTTTCATTTTACTATAAGTAGCAGCAAGCCTTTTAAACTACAGAAGGAAATGCCTCCAGGACCTGGAATCTTCATGCAAAACATGATCTTCACCACTGGTCTGTAGTTCCTTCCTTTTAGCAGTTAATAATAAACACTCTGGCATTTCAAACATAAAAAGAACTGGTTTTTTTAGCATAAGCGCACGTGTTATGGCAATCTTCTCCTCTGGTTCCTTGTTCTTTGTAACTGATGGATAAAATGCATACACTACCAATTGCACTTGGTGAGAAACCCCAATTTGTCAACAACATGAATTATAGTTTGATTAAATATAATAATAATAATAATGATGATGATGACGATGATGATGTTGGAAGGGACCTTGGAGGTCATCTAGTCCAACCCTGTTCAGGCAGGAAACCCTATACCAGTCATGGCAAACGTTTTAGAGACCGAGTGCCCAAACTGCAACCCAAAACCCACTTATGTATTGTTGGGTGCTGGGTGGGTGTGGCCCATTGGGTGGGCGTGGCTGCGGTGGTAACGACAGACTGGGTGGGATTAAAAAGTTCAATCAATCAATTCCAACTTTGTGAGATCTTTTTTTTTCCTGTGAGAAGTTGAAATTGATCGAGTGATTGAACCTTTTTTTTTTTTGCACACGGTGGCAGAGGCCTAAAGTGAAAAGGTTTTATAAAACCCAGCTGAAGGCCTAGAACTGGGGCGATGGCGCACATGCCCATAGAAAGGGCTCTGCGTGCCACCTGGGGCACCCATGCCATAGGTTCACCACCACGGCCCTATACCATTTCAGACAAATGGCTGTCCAGTCTCTTCTTAAGAACTTCCAGTGTTCGAGCATTCACAACTTCTGGAGGCAAGTTGTTCTACTGATTAATTGGTTCTAACTGTCAGGAATTTTCTCTTTAGTTCTAGGTTGCTTCTCTCCTTGATTAGTTTCCATCCATTGCTTCTAGTCCTGCTCTCAGGTACTTTGGAGAATAGCTTGACTCCCTCTTCTTTGTGGCAACCCCTGAGATATTCGAACACTGCTATATCATGTCACCCCTCATCCTTCTCTTCATTAAAGTAGACATACCCAATTCCAGCAACTGTTCCTTATATCCTTTTGTACGTAATTCTCTCTGTTGCTCTGTTTCTTCTTAATCAAGCTATGAAACTACAGCTAGTTAGCTACATCTAACTTGGTACATATTTCCTCAAAAAAGCTTTTTATTAAATATATATTTCAACAATTTATACATTTAATAAAATGCTTATGTACAAACTCTTCTGCCTCCCTCCCCTTTTGATACCTTTATAGTTTCACTAGGAACACCGGGCTCTGGAACTTTATTCAAGTAAGTGGTCAAGTCTTGATCAACATGTTCAAACACCAGTGTTAATTTCGTCTCTCGTTCAGTTCGGGATACTGTGCATACATCAAATAACCTAAGAAGGATGAAAAAGAAAAATGGGTAGGAATCATTAGAAGAACAATGTATCTTTTTACAACAAATGAAACTTACAAAAGAAAAAAAACCTGTATTGAATTCACTCCATTCCAGATCAGAACATATAACAGGGGATCTAGATAGCCAAACTTCTTCATATAATAAAACTGAATTTTTATTGTTTTATATTGTATTTTTATTGTACATTTTCCCCACAAGGAATAATATAATGAGTCATGAAGCAGCTGACAACAATAAGTTCTAGCTTCTGCATTGAGTATCAAACAAACCATGAATATCGGGACAAAATTTTCATGTCAAAATGCATTGAGTACCAAATTTGATGAATTTCAAAGCAGCTGAGTACCAACATACCACTGTATATATTTTTAAAGAAGTTGTGGCAAAGAGTATATTGGTTTGTCTGAATGCTAGAGTAACTGGATTATTATACTTTTAGTTAAAATACAAGCTTTTGAATAGTATTCTGTTCAAAGGGGAGGGAAGAATTCTGGAAAGGAAAAAATAATCTGTGATGGGGTATCTAACCTTGGTGACTTTGAGACCTGTGGACTTCAACTGCCATGCTGCCTAGGGATTTCTGGGAGCTGAAGTCCACAAGTCTTAAAAGTGCCAAAGTTGGGCACCTCTGATCCATGACTTAGATGTTCCAAACTGCTCATTTAAGTTAGTCCTACATTATTAGATCATCTTCATATAAAATCTGAATTACAAATTATCTGACCCTAGAAACTATGACCTCCATAAAAATTGTAAAAGTAGATCCTTCATCACAGATGAGATAAAGAAATAAGGCAGATTTTATTGCAATTTCATGTGTGTGTTTTAATTTTCCAATGTCCTAAACATCCCTTAAAAACATACTGGTGATGACCAATGTAAAAATGAAGCTTACCAATTGAAAGATTAACAATTATGCCATTTGATATTATCCGATCCTATTATCCTAAACAATACATTCAATTTCCAGGGAACATAATTTGAAACAATTATTTTCTGTCTCACATCTAAACAGCACTTCTGAACAATTTACAATCTTTCAAGCATGGAAGCCTTTTGCAGGCCAAAGGATAAGGATCCAACTTTCTGTTCATTGTAAAAATTCTTAACTTTTCTTGAGAAGGAATTTGTATAGTTTCTGCATATCCAGACCACTTTACATTAAAGTCTTTAATTAAGGTTAAATATCTGACATCTTAAAGGAGTTTAATCATTTGCAGTGTTTTATGGAGGTCATTTACTTCAGTACACACAAACATAGAGAGATAGGAAGATAAGAAAACCCAATATAAACATTGGAAAATATTTCCAGATGAATGTTTCTGTTTAACAATGCTTATTTAATTTTTAAACACCTTTTTTTAACCAAGTACTAATAAACTGGCAAAGGTACACTTTTGGCTCATGCAAGATTTTTTAAAAGAATCCATTGTGAAGGGTATAAATATATCAACATTCTTCATACTTCTTAAAGAACAATAACAATCTTATAACAAGCTTTTTAACTGAAAGAGTTCTACTTTTTAACTCTAGATTACAATTTGTTATGACATTTTCTTCAAAGTAAGAATTGTGTTCTTAAATTTCTTTCTTAAAATGTTATCACACTATTTTAATAGTATATGTTAATAAACAAGGTTAGTCATAAGAATCATGACTTCTAATAGAAATAACAGTATGGCTTAGAACATTTTGACTTTGGGGAAATATGACTGGTGTTCCATGGATGGCTTCCTGGGTTCACCTAATTGGGCAGTACTTTTATACAAATATATTGAGAAGCAGGAGCACCAAATCATCTCATAATATAAACTGCCTCAGCATAGCAATAATCTCCTTCTGGAAATGGTTATCCAGGAGAAATCATTATTGTTCAATTAAGTTTATCTAGAAGATACTATGATCAATGGGACTGGACACTGGCTAGATCCAGGAAACCTAAAGTATTTTACTTCATTTGTCCATCTCCAAGAATGAGATTGTACTTCAGGTCATCTCAAAGACCAACTGAGGTAATTTATGTTCCAAGATCAGGCTTAAATTTGGATCTTTCCTATTTTTATTGTTTAAGATCACAAAGAATACAGAAATATGAATCAGGAATTAGATTAATACATATTAATTACAGATAATCCTACATTTATGACCATAATCGAGCCCACAATTTCATTCATAAATCATGACAGTCATAAAGTGGCAGTTGTTGTGAATATGGAGGTCATAAAACAAATACTGCAGTCATTAAGCAAGCCCATTGTTTGCAAAGGTACCATTTTTGCCAGAAACTGAAAGTAAATGCTGGTTTCCAGCAAAATTGCAGTCACATGATTATGAGGTGCAGCAAACAGTCATAAATGTGGATTGGTTACTGAGCACTCAAAATGTGATCACATGTAAGCCCATGACCACAGGAGAAGCCTGGACATCAGAAGTTCAAATCCAGGTCATAAGCCCATTTTCGGAGTCATAACTTCAAACAATCACTAAGTGACCGGTTGCAAGTTAAGAACTATCTATATTCATTTTCAAATCATCATAGTCTGGCAATCATTATCTATAGAAAATTAATATGCCACCTACTCAAGCAACTCTAAACAACATGCAATAAAAACATTAAATCTCAAATAATAATAAAATAAGATAAAATATGACATTTATTGCTCTTAAATTACAATCTTTTTAACCAAACATTTGCTAAAAAAAGAACCATAGTTACTAAGTAAGTGATCTTTAAAAGTAATAGGGTGGGGACTGACCTAACTTCAGGGGGCATATTATTCCAGGGAGCAGAAGTTACAACAGGTTTTTATAAGCTATGAACTTTAAAGAACATGGACCAAATTATATATATGCATATGCATGTAATGTGCACACAAGAAAGTATTTTCAGTAGTGACTACAATGTCGTAAGGAAGGAAAACAGCAGCAAGTGTAAAGTGGGCCTACATGACAAATGTAATTCATAATCCTGAAGTGTTCTTCTCTCCAGGGGAGTTGGTTGTTGCTATTGAAAATACGACACAAATAATTTTAGAACTTGTAAAATACATTAGCTTTTGTTAGCATGTATTCCAGAGTGGCTGCCATTAAAACACGTGGACATGTTTTAAAATGAAAAAAAAACTGAGTAAAGAATTGAAATCAAAGATATACAATTTTGTAAGTGAAATTTAGAAGTATTGTGTGTTAGTTGGAAAACAATAAAAAAGAAATTGGAACAATATTTATATATAATGCTTTTAGTAGTTTTTCCTCTTTTTTCATTTTTGTATTTTTAAACACCAAATAGTGGAAACTGGCATTTAGCTCAGATATTTAATTCTTACTTACATTGTTAAAACTATTTAGTGTGTGCTTAAATGTAACTTCATGTTTTCCATAGCTAATTTCCAATCAATGATACAATGAGTATTAGTCTTGGTAATTCTTTTGTCTACTTATAAATATATAATTGATGTTTCTACATCAATTCATTTTTTTTGCTTATTTGTTCTTTGTTTTTCCTTTTAAAAATAAGATATATTTGAAAAACATGTGGTTATAAAAATTAGTTTGTGGCTAACTAGCTTTTCATAAGCTTTTTATTACTGAATGATACATTACAAGTCTGTCCTGATCAATTTTTTCTATGTTCATAGCCCATTATTCCCAAGGTTTTGAAAACATAGTCAGTAAAACAGATGTGAGCAGATACTGAAAATGGTGGGGGACTGTTTTTCTGTACATCTTATTAGTAAAGTTGAAAGATAAGTTAAGGTTTCTATATATGTAGTCCTAGCTTAATGCTAATAACTGGGACCAAAATTTCTCTCAGTAAGCAATATGATAATAAGTGCAATGTCAGCTTCTTAACAATGACAGTTTTGGCAATCCCTGATTACTAGTAACTGAATCACCGTGGGTCATTAAGTGAGTGTGATTTTGATTCTGTGATTCTGATTTCCTTATAGTTCCACCACTGACTTTGCTTGTAGGATGCAGTTAGGGAATGTCTCTTGTCCCACTTCTTGGGGGAAGGGATGAGAAAAGGAAGGAAAAAGGGGGAGAGGGAAACTGCAGAACTGGGGATTCACTTTTACGACAGAGAAGCTGGTTGTGGGATTAAGCTATTTGCAAGATTACTCTGGAAATGACCACCATAGGAAAGAAGCAGCTAAGAAATAGCCAGACAGCACTTGACAGTGTAAAAGAAAGATGGGGGAACCAATAAGACAAGACTGGAAAACAACAAAAAAATAGTACTTTCTACTACATCAGGAGGCTCACAGAGTACTCCCTTACTTAAGAATATGTCTGCTACCTTAAGAAAAGAAGGTCTGCTTCCTCCCCTAAGAGGCCTGAATAAAGACAAGGTTCACCTCCCTCTATGTTAACCACCAAGGCCCAAACTCCCAAACAATTACAAAGCACAGAGGCAAATAAAAAGAAAATCCACTCAATAACTATGTTGTAGGGACTATTACTTCCGTTTTTCACTCATCTCTCCATAGAACATTCCTCAAGAAATCTGGAACATTATTGTGCTACCTTTTAGCCAACCTGGACAAAGATCGACAACATTTTTCTTAAAGAAATGGCTTCTTCCTTGCTAGACTGTATTAATTACATTTTCCCCACTACTTTTCTTTTTTTTAATATATTTTTATTACAAGTTTTTTTCTTAATATAAAGTACAAATACAAATAAAGGCCATGGGAAAAAAGGGTATAGAAGAGATAGAAAGGGGTAAAAATAAAAAAAAAATACCGGTGGTTTTCAACTTTTTTTTGATTCAGTAAGATACAAAATGAAATTGTAATATGTCACCTCTCCTGTGGGAGTTGCATTGGTTGACGATTTGCTTCCAGGTGCAATTCAAGGTGAAGATTGTCACCTTTCATGGCCTGGGACCAGGTTATCTGAGGGACCGTCTCTTGCCGGTCATATCCACCCGACTCACTAGAACGGCAAGGAATGTTGTGGGTACATCTGGCAGGA